TAAAAAACATAATTAATGAGCAGAAATAAGGAATAGCTGTATTTTTTTTTAACTGTGTTCTGCCTGGCGATATGGCAATAAGAATAATTGTCTTAAATCTGCTAAAAGAGGCCAACAGATTTTGCTTTCAGAAGTGGAACATTACGGCTATCGCCATAGAGTTCCGCTTGATTAATGCATGTAAATATCTTTATTATATTTCACGCAGGGAGTATTACAGATTTATGGAAACTGCAAGGAAAGGAAAAACAAAAAAAGGAGAAAAGATATAAATATTAATAAATATCCCATGGGTAAGTTCTGGGTCTGGAGATGAAAAAATAAACATGTCAAAATATCAGACAGTTATCTTCTGTTTTTCTCCTGTCAGGTTTGTAGCCAATGACTGTATGATTTATCTCAGAGTTAAATTCCCGCCTCCTGCTGCTCAAACTGTGGCCTTTTCTATACGCATGCTACCTCGGTTAGCATCGAAGTCAAGCACCTTTAAAGGCTTTCCTGAACCAGCATTTACCTCCTGCTAGCAGATTTCCATGGTAACTGGAATAAAAAGGTGATCAGAACAGGAATGTGTCGTGAAGCCGGTTTATGGAGTGAATTTTGTTCCATTTTTTGTTACAAAGATGTTTTATAAATGTGAATTTGAGGGAAAAAAACAATCCAGAAAGAACTTCTCAATCAAAAATAAAAGTTTCAAGAGTAACTTTGCTGTTTTCTTTCATTTTATTTTTTCAATAATTTTATTTTATTTTATTTTTTTTTATTATATTATACATTTTTTCAGTTTTTCTTGACAGATTTTTTTTTGTGCTTTTTTTCAAATTATATTATTTCAGTTTTATTTAAAAAATGTTTTTACAGGTTTTATTTTTTCAATTTATCTTTTCTGTTTTTGTGAAATTCTATAATTTAATTTTTTTTTCAATATTCTATATCAGTTTTATTTTTTTCAAATTTTCTTTACAGATTTTTTCAATTTTTTTGTCGTTTTTTTTTTTTCAAATTATATCATTTCAAACTTTTATTTCTAGTTTATCTTTACAGGGTTTATTTTTACAAATGTCTTTTTTTAAACTGAGCTTTTCAAATTGCAGAATACAGATCATTCTGCTCAGATCGAGAGCGGCCTTTCCTCTGGAGTAAGAAGCAATGGCGCATTTCGATCGATCTAGTGGACGATAACATGAGCATTTTCGTTGGTCAAGAGCGCGCGTTTGGATTAGACCAGGAGTGATGAGAACATGACCTGTGAAACACAATTTGAAAATATAAAATGTGAAAAAGTGAAAAAATAGAAATATAAAATAATAATGACGGTTTAGAAAACGTGCTCTTTGCAACAATAACGGAGTAAAGTTCTCTCCATATATCTGGAGATGTGCAGTGAAGCAGGTGACACACAGTGGAGCCTTTGGAGAAATGTTGATCTATCTATAAATGTCCCGTTGCATAACTTTTCTCTTCTTTATTACCTTGATAGGCTGAGTCAGAACTGAGCTCACCGGTTTAAAGTCAGATTCCCCAGTCGGACTGAAGAACCACTCCACGGTGGCAGATGCCTGCACCTCGCTTCTCTTTTTGCAGGAAATGCAGCCCAGTTTGAAACCTCTGCCCGCCACCGCCTCCGTGTCGGAGTCCACCTCTGCACAGGCGCCTTCACCGCGGTCCACTGTTTACAGACAGATGCAGGACTTATGATGCAGAGAACAAAAAGCAAACAGCAAAGGATGCCCAGAGAGCAGCAGGACTCACCAAACAGGCCGCAGAGCAGAGAGAGGAGCAGCAGGGGGGCTACAGGGGCCATGCTGTCACTAACTCAGCACTTCTAACCTGGATCTGCTGACTGCTGTAGGACTGGATTTAAAAAGCTTCTCTGTAGATTATAAATGAGGTGCAGGCAGAAAGATTTGCAGCTACTTCAGCTGCTGAACATGCAAAGTGAAGTGAAGTGCAAACTGGTTCCTGGCCCTCAGGGGATCTGATGATCTTTGGCTTCCTGTTGGTTCCTGTGCCTTTACCTAAGATTATTGCTGCTTAGGGCTCAGCTCTGGGTCTGCAGTCCAGCCTGAGGACTCTTCCTTCCAAGCGGATCTCTCCGGATATCTGCAGCCTCACAGTGTCCTCCACATCCACACCCTGAGCTGTGTTGTCCCTGAGGTCTCAGAGGGTCATTAGAGCCAAAGAGATGGATCTTTAAATGTGCAACATGCAACAGCTACTGATTACTCTGCAACACTCACATGCTAATGCATAAACGGATCAGATAAAGCTCTCTGATGGCTACCAGTGTGATGCTACCGGGTTAAATACAGAACTCAGACCGCAGGCTGCTCTGGTGGGAACGATCAGGAAAAAACCCGCAGCTGTGCTTAAAGGCCTGCAGCTCTGGAAGAAGAGAAGCCCAGACACGGTGTCCCTCCCTCCGATGGCAGCTGAAGGCGCGCGCTCCTATCTGATGACCCCCTGCTGCTGGAAGCTCCGCCGCACGGGCATCGCAGGCAGGCCGGGCAGGAAGGCAGGCAGGCCGGGTAGGAAGGCAGGCAGGAAGCCGCTCGGAGGGCTTCTCCTCTCGGATCGGAGGCTTTAGTCTCTGACGCCACAGCGGCAGCGCGGGATGCTGCGGATGCACTGCGGTAAAAATCGGCCGCCGTGCGCGCGAGCAGGTGATGAAACAAGACGGATGCGCGTGCTTGTATTTTTTTTTTAAATCCGGAATGACACGAGCTCAGGTGGGACACGAAGCCGCCGCGAGGCTCCAAATGATGACCTTGAATGAAGGGAAAGATGTCTCACCTGAGAGAGCGGCTGCTTTTAGGTTCTTTATGGAGGGAATTTTATTGGCTGATGGAAAACAATCAGTGCATTACCGCCACCTGCTGGTCTGGATTGGTTTAGAAAATGACAGCATACTAACAGATAAATAAATTTACTTTATATCAAT